AACCGCGGTTCGGACCCAAATAAAATAATATGAACGCAGTCCAGCGGGGGCAGGGGGAGGGGGGAGCAATCGAACTCGGGTTCGGACCATAGACTGTATCAGACCAGGCAAGCGAACCAAGTCTGAAAGCACCCTAAATGTTATTTTCTTTTCAAACTTTCAGCCAAAATTTCCAGTTTTATACATTAAATGTTATTTTAAATGCTATTAAATGTTCATTTATAAATATTTCATAGCTTTCCATTGCATATAGCGTTTTTGTAAGATAAATATCCATATTTCAAACGTAATAAACACTTTTTATCTCACTTCCGCTGACTGTGGTACACGGAAGACGTTCAGGTGGACAACGTAGGCGTCGTGCACACGCCTCTGAGAAATGCAGGAGCAAAGGAAGCAAAGTTTATTTACTTTAGCAAAGGAAAACCAGTTTCCCCTTGGCTTATATCAAAATCCTCTGACATTTTTCTTTACAAATCCTCGTTTCGTGCTTCTATAATTCATGACCGGTGTTTTGTTTTGTTCTCTCTCCACGCACGTCACTAATCACGCAATGCCGACATCCTACGTCATCCGCTGGAAAGCCTTTCGCATATGACAGAATACCGGAAGTGAGAGAAAAGTGTTTATTACGTTTGAAATATGGATATTTTTCTTACGAAAACGCATGGATTTGCTACAGAAGGCCTTTATTCATGCCGCGGAGCCGTGTGAGGGACGTTTTATTACAGATGCGCACACTTTATTTCACGTCTTCTGAACTGTTGACAACAAACACCCGCTTACCCCCATTGAAAGGCTTGGAGGAGCCAGGACAATTTTTACTATAACTCAGATTGGATTCGTCTGAAAGAAGAAAGTCATATATATATCTAGGATGCTCCGAGGGCGAGTAAAACACAGGCTAATTTTCATTTTTGGGTGAACTAACCCTTTAACATATGTAATAAACTGAAGCACAGATCACTTGAATGACATTCTTTCTACTGTGGAACACAAAAGATGATATTTGGTGTATGGACCAAAAAAAAAAAATTAAGACATTTTAGGAATTATTATCTTTATTAAGAACTTAAATGATTTTATAAAAGAGATGACTTAGAACAAATATGAATTTTATAATGTCTCTGCACTGCAGTGCCGACTAATTTTTGAAGATAGAGCACACCTTGCTTTTCAGACCGATGAGCTTTGTAAAAATCGACGCGTTTCAGAAAGGCGGGGCATAGAGGAGAAACAATAATGTACAGTATGTGTTTTTTGAACCTTAAACCGCATAAACACATTTCATTACACCAAATACACAAAATAATGTTCTTTTTAGCAACATCATATGACCCCTTTAAGATGTTTTCGAACATTCTCATATGCTCACCAAGACTGCATTTATTTGATCAAAAATACAGAAATTTTGCAAAATATTATTACAATTTTAAATAATTGTTTTCTATTTGAATACATTTTAAAATGTAATTTATTCCTGTAATGGCAAAGGTGATTTTTCAACAGCCATTACTCCAGCCTTCAGCCTTCACATGATCCTTCAGAAATCATTCTAATATGATGATCTGGTGCTATATTTTATAATATTTCTTATTATTATCAATGATGAAAACAATTCTGCTGCTTAATATTTTTGTGGAAACGGTGATACTTTTTTGATGAATAGAAAGTTCAAAAGAAAAGAATTTATTTGAAATATATATTTTTATAACATTGTAAATGCCTTTACAGTCACTTTTGATGAATGCACTACTGCATCCTTGCTGAATAAAAGTACTAATTTCTTTAAAATATATATATATTTCTAATATCCATTTTCTTGTAGTGCAACAAGTAAAAATGTTGGCAGGCAAGTAACAATCTGAACTACAAGTCTGACTGGGCTAGCAGAAAAATCCTTATTGTTGAGCTCTGCAAATCTATTCAGTTCAAGAAACAATTGGGTGATCACTGTGTGGCTTGTAACAACAGGTACACACCATTACTGAGTCAATAAAGTGGGCATGTAACATTATCTCCCCTGTCGAAACATTCATGTTCACAGTGCATCTGTGAAATTAAGAGTATGCAGAGAAGCTGCAGTGAGGAAAAAATACCTGAGGGGGATCTCCTTGGGCTCTCTTCCAGGGGTCCTGTCGGTGGAGGCCTCCAGGGGTGAGGGCAGCAGGTTGAGGCATGATGCAAGGGATTGACTGGAATCCTCCCGTGAGGCTGTAACAGCAAATTAAAGAAAAAAAAAGCTTCTGGGTGAAAACAAGATTTAAATTTCTTTATTTCCTTGAAATGAGGTGTTCATTTATATTTTTAAAACATTTTTGTACAACAAACAAAATTTTGTACATTGTTGGGTCGCCAAATTGTCCAATGTGTAATCTGGGTCCTGAAGCAAAACCCTGATTTAGGAGTAGTTCATGCCAAAATGATTTTGAGCACAGGCGCTGCGATATTTATTTCTCTTGCGAAATTTAAAAAAAAAAAAATAACTTCTTTAGTAAATATCAGCAATAACATTCGTGGTGTTTATCTGTCTAGAGACTTTGCCTGTGGTGCATGTTAACGTGCAGCGTCACATGTGCTGATGTAACTCCTCCCCAAATATCAGAACATTTGGAAATTTAAGATGACATGACTAATTCATAATTGTATGCGTGCATAACTTTATGGTGTAATATTTTACAAGGTATTAAAATCTGAAGACTTGCCCATGTCTTCTTCAGCTAAAGCTGGGGGGAATAAGGTCTCATCTTTTTTTATCTACGGCAAAAATCATTTCTTCAAGCGATGCAGCTATTATAAGGATATGTAATTACTATAACAAGATATTCAGAGATTTAACAGCATGAATATGAATGAGAGATAAACACCACAATACATGTTGAAGAGTCTGAAGCAAAGAGAAGAGAGCAACTGTAGTCTGGTAAAAACATACCGTGTTGAGGTCGCTGGTCATCAGAGAGGTCAAGATCCAGCATCAGGTCATCCTCATCCAACTCAGATGAGCCAAGGTTATTCAAAACATCCTGGAAAAGGGAGAAAAACTATCATGCAAGGGCCAAAATAAAACATTTTTGCTAAGGAGAGCTCCATGAATATGGCTCTGGGTCCATTTTAAATTCCATGCCATAATTCACCAACAAATGGGGTTATGTAGTTTCACATCTAAATATATAAATGTATTATACATTTATTTTAATGTATTATTCATGATTTTAAAAATGTTAAAGTACATAGTTTATAATAATTTAAATGTAATAATTTATGCATTTAGCAGACGCTTTTATCCAAAGCGACTTAGTGCATTCAGGCTATACATTTTTTACCAGTATGTGTGTTCCCTGGGAATCGAACCCACGACCTTTTGCGCTGCTAACGCAATGCTCTACATTAATCATTTGTTTGTGAAGCAAAACTGGTAAAAAGGAGGATCAGTAAATATGTTATGATCAGGCCAATAGGAAAAAGATATGTCCTTACTGTTAAGACCTGGTATCCATACAAGATTGATATTTTACTAGTTATGACATATTTAGAATCCAATGTAAAGTCTCTACTTTGCAGTTAAGTGACTAATGACTTTCTTAAATTCAGCCCAAACCTCCAGCTGTGTCATGGTCTCTTTATTAAAGCAAGATGACAAAAGAGGATTTAATTTGACTCAAAGACTCCTCCAGAGCAACCTTTCCACACATTCAACTAAACAACACAAAAAAATTAAAAAATCCACTGTGCACTCAGGAAGCAGAAAACCTGTATATTGCTCAAACCAAAGTGTCACACTGCCATCTTGTGCCCAGCATGAAAAAACACCTTAAGATTGAAAGCTAAAGTAAAAAAAAAATTTTTAAAAATACTACTAATAATAATAAAACAGGGTCGTTTATTCTAGCACACAAACCAGACTCAGAAAAAGCTCTAATATGGAGTATTTCAAGCTAATTCTATTTAAAAGTGCATGTAAAAGGCAAAAAGGCAAAAGAGCCGCCCGCTATTATGTCCTATTAAAGAGGAAAAGCACAGCTCTGTGGCTAATTAAGCAAGACCGAGCAGCAAAGTAGTGGATAGTGCATCAGAACAGAAAAATGCCTTAACTTTGACTTTGCTAGAAATTAAAGGGTCACTGGGCACCTAATTAAGACTCTCAGGATATGAAACGGCCTGGCCTTTACCTCTGTGAAATATTACGACGCCACTACTGTTACAATCTCAGTATGAATGTAATATTGATGAAGTGAATGGCCTTATTCAGTGACCTGTTCAGACAGCTTATTTAGATATATTAAAGAAGACCAGTGTCATGATTCATAAATGTCTTTGTGAACATAAATTGCCAAACACAGGTTGGTTTTGTGCATAAGCATGCAAACTGTCTCAATCAACAAGGTCAAAAAAGAGGCGATGAAAAGATAGTCTTTTTTTCCTCATGAGTTTATTTCTGAGGGATTGAGAAGGTAACAGAGAGCTGACATTTGGTGTGACTCACTCTCCATCTCCCGATGTTCAGATTGATTTTTCTGATCTTTTCATGTCAGTGTCAGGAGAAAACATGCTTTACTTATTAACGAAATATCCTGCGGCCCTTCGACAAAAAGGACAAAACAGTTCAATGCCAATGTAAACAACTTTTCCTCCCTTCGTATTTCAGAAATCACTTAAAAAAAATTTTTTTTTAAATAACTCTGTGAGTAAATAAACACAAACACTATTTGAGAAGGCAATCGAACAGGTTACACGTAAGCAGGTTATGCAAGGATACAACCTCAGACACATTCAGAATTAATCTGTGCTGCTACCAGAAATTCTTATGAGGGGTCAGAAAACATTTGCACTAATGTATCCAATGGATTAGGAAATGGCCAGAGCTTAACTCAGGGCACCCGCACTTAAAGTCCATTGCAAGACGTTAAGAACATCTTTAGCCTCTTGGTACAGTAGTGAGATATTGAAGTAATGTTAGGGAGAAATGGTAAAAACTGAGACATGACATGGGATAGATTCAAACCCATTTTTCGCACATGAGCAGCAAGGGACATGTGTTAGTTTATGACACACAACAAAAGTTATTGGTTGCAAGATACAGCACAAGTTTATTAAATGGTTTAAAATAGAAAATCTCGCCATCTTATTTTTTTATTTAATTTTTTTTATTAGTATAGCCAACACAGCTCAATTAATCTCATTTCATCTTTACATTTAGATTGCCTTTGTCATCCTCGAACGCTTACCTAAAATAATATTTAAGAACAATAATTTAATAACACTGTTGAATGTAATTTTTAGCAAATTTGGTTTGTACAGGTTTCAATAACATTGCAGAGACAACCTCAATTAAATAAAATACCGGCTAATTTCAAGTCTAGGCCAAAACATATTGAGCAAAATAAGGCCTGATTCAATAAAGCAGCTTTCTCATAAGTGAAACTCAGGCCCTTTAGGCACATTTAGCTAACTAGCTGCTGCCAAATGTTTCATTCATCGGCAAGAACAAAGTCTCCTGCTCTACAATATGAAGGTTGATTGCAAGCTAAAAACAATTAGGCTGTATCAAGCAAGAACCATCTTGATGCAAATGAAGCAGCAAAAAGCAAAACAAAATCACCAAATGACACTTATGTGATTTACAAGCGTGTTGGCCAAAGATAACAGAAATGGGAAACTACTGTAGTTCCTCAAATGTGAATGTTTGAAGAACACAGAGAGCAGTAACTGGCGTGCTTCCCCTGAGAGAAGTGAGAAGACCACAATTTCTCACTGTGACAATGGAATACTTCCCTTTTCCTGCCTGTCTTTGTGTTTACATAAAGTTATATGAGTAATCCCCATAAAAAGTATGTTAATGAGCATTTACATTCTTTGGTGATTACAGACTCAGCTTAGAAAAATCTGCTAAAACTTTAAAACAGAATCCACACACTCACAAATCTTTTTTAAGAGGGCTTAAAACAAAACTGAGTAGGTAGCAACTGGCTTTTAAAATGGAACATTCAGAAAACAAATTAGTATAAATATATATATATATATATATATACACACACACATGTATACACACACATATACATATATACACATATACACATATACATATATATACATATATTTATTTATTTATTTATTTATATAGTATATATATATATTTCTTTTTCAAAAAACATTTTAAAATAAATATCACTGTTTTTCATGCTTAAGTTCATTTTGAAAATGACTCACGCTTCAGTAAGCGAGTCAGTTATTAGACCAATTCATACAAACAACTTTTGAATTTGGGACATGTTTGAGACTAATTCATTAAGAACCGACTCTTTTATTCGCAAATCGGACATCACGGATAACAATGTTCATTGTTCCGTGCAGCTTGCACAACACAAAATGTTGCCCTTTCTCTGAACTTGACTGCAGAACGACTGCTCCGTAGAAGAGGATTTTCCTTCGACAAATCTGTTTCATCCGGCAATTAAAATGAAGGCTCACATATAAATTTATCTTTATCTGGCACAGCTTCAAGAATACAAGATTCTGGATCCTCAAAGTCACCCAAAAAATACAGCATGTTTCCTAAGATTTCCGATTTCTGTTGACAAACCTGCTCAGACACGCTGCCTTCAGGATGTAGCCTCATCCAAGAACAACTGCCAAACAGGATAATGTAAATGGAAAGGCCAGGTCAGCCCAGCTACAGTAAAGGTAACTCTCACTCACAAATTTAGCATGGCACATGACTTGATGACAAATTAGCAGTGGCACCTTAGCGAGCATTAAAGAACAATAACACAGGATGTGGCGTTTTCCTCTGCTACGCTGGAAAACAAGAGCAATTACTTTGGCCTCAAGCTGTGCAGGTGCAGGCTACATTATTCAGAAACCAAACAAAGCCTTTATAACTTTGTAGGAACTAGCCAAAAGTATTAGCCATTGTTTTACATTACTAATTGTTTTCCTGTAAGGGTTTTGTCTATACGGTGTAAAATCTCACTCAAGCTTAATTCTTTATCTGTCAGCCCTACAACACCAATGACTGGCACCAGCTAAAAATAGTCACTACTAACTTTATACTACCATTCAAAAGTTTGGGGTCAATAAGGTTTGTTTTCCTTGAAGGAAATTATAGTTTTATTCAGCAAGAATGCATTAAATGATTCAAAAGTGACATTTATAATGTTACAAAAGATTTCTACTTCAAATAAATGCTGTTCTTTTGAACTTTTTATTCATCAAAGAATCCTGTATTACGGTTTCCACAAAATATTAAGCAGCACAACTTTAGAAACATTGATAATTTAAGGAACATTTCTTGATCACCAAATTAATATATTAGAATGACCTCTGAAGGATCATGTGACACTGAAGACTGGTGTAATGGCTGCTGAAAATTCAGCTTTGCTTCACAGGAATAAATTACAATATATTAAAATAGAAAAAAAAATATTAAAATAGAACAGTTATTTTAAGTTGTAATAATATTTCACAATATTTTTGTTTTATGTATTTTCGATCAAATAAATGCAGTCTTGGTGGGCATAAGAGACTTCTTTTAAAACCATTACAAAATCTTAACAGCCCCAAACTTTTGAATAATAGTGTACATTTATCAGTAGTGGGACAGTAGTTTAGCTGTTTTCAAATCAGTGTAAATTTTCAAGCAGCAAGCTACTAGTGAATATAGGGATGGGTTAGTATGGTTGACTATCTTGTTACTATCCTGTTAGGTCGACTATATATTTTCAGCATTGGTACATTTAAATAGAGACCCTTTTTAAATATTTGAAAGTGTTTTAGCATGCTGAAAGTGTGCAGTACCAAAGTCCCTTTCAAGGAAAGTCTGTTCACTTGGCAGCCATATTAGCAATGCCTCCAGGCAGCTATTTTGGGTGTCCTATCGACTTGAATGGGGAAATATGGAAATCTCAAAAACTGCTTGCCACATTCAGTTAAAAAAAATATTTCAAATAATCAACAAAATTTGATATAAACTGTAAATGCTGCTTCTTATGCTCAGATAGTGTTATAAAAAGCTTATATTTCAGGTTGGCCCAGCCAATGTGCATATGCAGTCAGTCCCAAGTGCGGGTCTCAGGACAAAAACTGTTTCTATGGCGACCAGAGCTTCTAATGGCAGCTGCAGTGATGTCATGACTACCAATTGGCAACTGGCTCTCTTATTTAGAAGGCGGTATTTGTTACACCATAATGCACATTGCATTTCGTCCCATTCATGGTAATATGAGTGCACCGTCTTTGTATATCTGAAGCCTTTGGTAGTAATTTATGATTCTAACAGTTAGCACTGTATATATTATATATATATACTGTATATATTTGTTCTCACTGAAAACACCACTACAGGAATTAAAGAACTGCTTGTGCTCCACCGCCTTTAACAAACTTCAACACAATCACTGTTGGACTTCAAATGGCCTGCTGTGAACAGTGCTCCTGTTATTACACATAATCCACAGGTTCATTGTGAGGTCTTGTGGAGAGATTGAAGGACAGTATTTTTCTGTAGTCAGCTTTTAATAAACAGATGGTGGCTTTAATAAATACTTGCAGAACAAAAAGGCTCAAACTGTTTTATGTTGAGAACTAGATATTACTGAAGTTTCATCACACAAAACTGCTTCTCGCACAGTAGCTCAGTTTTTGAGGACAGACTGTTCTAGGTTGATTCACAGCAGTGCCATACTTTTCCATTTCGTAATTATTGATTTAACTGCATTCCACGGCATATATTTAATGACTTGGAAATGTTCTTATATCTTTCACCTGCTTTGGGCTTTTGAATTACTTTTCAGAGTAGATTTGATTGTACTTTTTTCTTCAGGTCTAGGTTCTGCCACAATACTGAATCTGGACCTTCTAAGTAAAGGTGTATTTATACTACAATCAGTTGAAACCTCTTGAATACACACAACTGCTCTCTATTTAATTAGTCGTTGGACTTTCTTGATTCTGTGGAATACAAAAGTGTGAATTTTTGAAGAATATCTTGTCCACCCTTTTCAATATAATGCATGTTAGGGGTGGGTGATATAGCCTCAAAATGATATCACGATATTTCAAGAATATTTGAGATAACGATATTTATGATGACATATAAAAAAAAAAAACCATGGAACAACGTTTTATTGGTGATTGCAGCTGGCAGGCAGCAGCATTTATTAGTGCAAACGAAATGAAGGGCATTTTCCATCCTTTTCCAATGAGCTACTGTCATCGATGACAAACTACCTAATTCGAAGTGTAAATCTATTGTCATAAGGTGGCAGCAGCAGCTGTGTGTTCAACTTGAAGCAGACCGATCGGTGACTTACAACTTATTTACCCCTAATTTACACTGCACGCATCTGCGGCGCGTTATGGCTCCGACGCGGCCACTCTAGTAAATGCTTGTGTTTACACCAGCGGCGCCGCGGCACGTTTCAGAAGCGGCTCTCCGCACTGCTTCGCTAAAGATATGTGCCTCACCTATTTTTGACGGTAAGTGTGCGCTCGAATATGCTCTAGAACCGCTCTCGCGATACTTTGACGTCATACACCGATCAGTCTGCGTAGCGCTGCTTCAAGTCGAACACACCTATTGGGTTTATGGTGTTGTTGTGCGCGCTAGGGAACATAAATGCGCCAAACGTCATTGCATCGCTATATCATTGATATCGCGATATGACACTTTTTTATCATGTAAAAATTTATACCGGTATTATCGTGGACGGTATAATATGGCACACCCCTAATGAATGTTAATGAGTACTGGGGCTATTATTATACACATATATATGTGCATTTAGCATATACTGTATATATGCAATATATTACAAGAATTCTGAAGTCATACAATAGCTGTGTTCATCTCCTTTCGTGTCTTTTTGAAGCTTGAAAGCCTCAGTCTGCATTCACTGAAAATGCATCATAACGAGCAACCAGTACATGATTCAAAAATACTTTATTTGTGTCACTGTTATTTTACTGAATTTGTTTTTTTATGAATTCGTTTTTATATTTATGTTTTTTCTCTATAATAACTCTAGTTTGTGTTCCAAAGAAAAGGGAAGTTGTACAGGTTTGAAATGAAAAAATGAAAAAAATTATTGAAATTTCAACAATCCCTTTGAAGATACAATTCTGCAAAACAACATAACTTTGGGGTTTAATAAAAAATTTTAGGCACTCTACATGTTCAGGCACTGGAATCTTCTACAGAGGGAAAGTGACCCATGGCCCTGCTTGGTAAAATGGTGTGAGAGGATTTGTGTGTTTAATTAAGCACTGCGATTATATCGCTGGGAGGGAATTTAATCCCTCTGAAAGACGCAGTGAGAGTTTACATCAGGGGTGGCGAACGTCGGTCCTGGAGAGCTGCAGCCCTGCAGAGTTTTGCTTCAACCCTAATCAAACACACCTGAACAAGCTAATCAAGGTCTGAACGGTTACTAGGAAGCTACAGGCAGGTGAGTTTTCATTAGGGTTGGAGCTGAACTCTGCAGGGCTGCGGCTCTCCAGGACCGGAGTTCACCACCCCTGGTCTACATCAATGGCTTTACAAGACAGTCATGTGTTTTGAAAATGCGAGCTTGAGCAATGGAATGGCATTACACTTACCATGCTGCCCAGTTTGGAAGATGAGGAACTGGTTCTCTGCTTGTATAAAGTGTTGCCCTCCATGCAGTGAGGATCCCTGAGGTTGAGGTGAAGTCTGGGTCCTCCTGCACCCTCAGAGGCTGACCGCAGACGTCTCTCCATGCGCATCACCTCATAGTACGGGCTCACACTGCTGCACATGGACACTGTAACAAACATAGATTAGAGAATCATAAAGAATCATATCCCTCAAAACAAAGAGCTGCTGGCCAACAGTTCTTAGTTATGAAGCAGTGGACAATAACAATTGCAAAACTTCGTAATTCACTGTATTAGATTACACATTATGATATATGATATGATATATATATATATTTATATATTAGTGGTCGACCGATATTGGTTTTTTGACAGCAGATGCGATAACTTTGAAAATCAGGGTGGCCGATATAAAACCGATATAATTTTATTTATTTTAATTAATATTTAAGAACTTTGAAATCATTTTAAAAATTATTTTAAAAATAAATGTGTTAAATAAACATACTTTAGATGACAGTATTTTTCACAAATAAATAAATATTTAAAGGGGTCATATGATGCGATTTCAATTTGTCCTTTCTCTTTGAAGTGTTACAAGCTCTTGGTGCATAAAAAAGATCTGTAAAGTTGCAAAGACTAAAGTATCAAATCTAAAGAGATATTCTTTATAAAAGTTAAGAGTCAACCACGCCTACCTAAAACGGCTCGTTCTAACACGCCCCCACATGTCTACGTCACGATGTGGGAAGATTTGCATAACGCCGCCCAAATGTTCACGCAAAGAAAGGAGGCGTAAGCTGTGGATCGCCGGATGGGCTTTCACCGTGGACGAAGCGGAGTCGTCACATGTGGTTGTCACAAGCCCACTGGACGCTCCTTCCCGCAGACGTCTCTCCATGCGCATCACCTCATAGTACGGGCTCACACTGCTGCACATGGACACTGTAACAAACATAGATTAGAGAATCATAAAGAATCATATCCCTCAAAACAAAGAGCTGCTGGCCAACAGTTCTTAGTTATGAAGCAGTGGACAATAACAATTGCAAAACTTCGTAATTCACTTAGATAGATTACACATTATGATATATGATATGATATATATATATATTTATATATTAGTGGTCGACCGATATTGGTTTTTTGACAGCAGATGCGATAACTTTGAAAATCAGGGTGGCCGATATAAAACCGATATAATTTTATTTATTTTAATTAATATTTAAGAAATTTGAAATCATTTTAAAAATTATTTTAAAAATAAATGTGTTAAATAAACATACTTTAGATGACAGTATTTTTCACAAATAAATAAATATTTAAAGGGGTCATATGATGCGATTTCAATTTGTCCTTTCTCTTTGAAGTGTTACAAGCTCTTGGTGCATAAAAAAGATCTGTAAAGTTGCAAAGACTAAAGTATCAAATCTAAAGAGATATTCTTTATAAAAGTTAAGAGTTAACCACGCCTACCTAAAACGGCTCGTTCTAACGTTTTATGTTTACGCGGCGCGATGCAACGCAATGCCTAAAAAGACAGTATAAGTCATTATAGTCCGTAATTATGTCCCCACTGGATGCAACAAATGCCTCGTTTATAATGGGTTTTAATGTTTTGTCTCGTCGCTACGGCCGGACAGGGCATCACACAATGGTAAGGGGCGTAGCATTTCTGTCACAAGCTTGAGGTATTCGGCCAATCACAACGCACTGGATAGCTGGCCAATCAGAGCACACGTCGCTTTTCAGACCGATGAGCTTTGTAAAAAAACGGCGAGTTTCAGAAAGGCGGGCATAGAGGAGAAACAATAATGTACAGTATGTGGAAAATAATGTGTTTTTTTAACCTTAAACCACATAAACACATTTCATTACACCAAATACACAAAATAATGTTATTTTTAGCAACATCATATGACCCCTTTAAAATCTCTACATAAATGCGCTTTTTGAGTGTAAATAAAAAACAAGCTGACCACTAGCAGCCCTCACGGCAGACATCATGGGACTGACTCTCATATCCGAACTGCTCGATCGCGCATCTCCAGTGAAGCTGAACTCTCCTCCTGTCCACATTCAATTCGCACAGACCGACCTTCACGCAGAGAGCACGCGATGATGCAGGATACAAATGCACACTTCACAATATCTCACAACTGGATCCGACTAAGTTTGCAAGGTTTTTGAAATTAGATGTTTATTAGACATTCAAAGATTTGTTTAAATTATATAAATGTGTATTTGCTGAATGCTGACAGCAAACAAGAAAGTATTATAATGTTTGCCTTTGTATTACTAATAATATAAAAGCAATCGTTATAAGACTTTTTGTATACATTTAAATTCCTTTGTTTAACCGTTCTATCCGTATTAGACAGAACTGTTAACGACAACGGCGAACAAGAGGGAGAATGTG